ACAGGACAAACAAACAGAGACCCATGGACATGGACTATAGACTAGTGGTTATCAGAGGGTAGGAGATGGGGGGATGGGGGAGGTAGACAGGGTAAAGGGGATCAAACATGTGGTGACAGAAAAAAATCTAACTATGGAAGGTGAACACTCAGTGTAAATATATATGCCTTACTGTTAAAGTGTACAGCTGAAACTTATTGGATTTCGTTAACCAATGTCACCATAAAAAATAAAAATTAAAAAAAATTAAAAAAATTTTTCATTGAATATATACATACATTTTCTTTATCCATTTAGCCATAATGGAAACTTAGATTATTTCCATATCTTGACTACTGCAAATAATGCTGCAATGAACATGGAGGTGCATATATCTTTTCAAGTTAGTGTTTTCATTTTATTTGGATAAATATCCAGAAGTGGAATCACTGGATTATATGGTTCTATTTTTAATTGTTTGAAGAACCTCCATAAATGTTTTACATACTGTGTTTTACAGCAATTTACATTCCCACCAACAGTGCACAAGAGCTCCCTTTCAACACATACTAACACGTTATTTCTTGTCTTTTCGATGATAGCCAGTCTAACAGGATGAGGTGATATCTCATTGTGGTTTTGATTTCCATTTCCCTGATGTTAATGAGGTGCAGCATATTTTCATATGCCTGTTGGCCACCTTGTATGTCTTCTTTGGAAAAAAAATTTATATTCAGATCATCTGTCCATTTTTAATTGGATTGTTTGAGGTTTTTTTTTTTTTTTTTGCTATTGAGTGTATGACTTCTTCATATATTATAGACATTAACTCATTATTGGATATGATTTTCTCTCATTCAGTAGGTTGCTTTTTTATTTGTTGATGGTTTCCTTACTGTGCAGAAGATTTTTAGTTTGATGCAGTCCCATTTATTTATTTTTGCTTCTGTTACCTTTGCTTTTTGATGTCAAATCCAAAATATCATCATCAAAGCCAAAGTCAAGGAGCTTACTGACAATGTTTTCTTCTAGGAGATTCATGGTTTCATGTTTTACCTTCTAGTCTTTGATCCATTTTCAGTTAACTTTTATGTATGGTATAAGATAGTGGTAGAGTTTCATTTTTTTGCATTTAGCTATCCAGTTTTCCTAGAACCATTTATTTTTTTCCCAGTACCATTTATTGAAGACACATTCTTCTCCATTTTATATTCTTGGCACTTTGTTGTAAATTAATTGAACATATGTGTATGGGTTTAGTTCTGAGCTGTCTATTCTATTCCACTGATCTATGTGTGTTTTTATACCAATACTATAATGTCTTGATTACTGTGGCTTTGTAATATAGTTTGAAACCAAGAACTGTGATGCCTCTAGCTTTGCTTTTCTTTCTCAAAGTTGTTTTGGTTATATGGCAACTTCTGTGGTTCCATATACATTTTAGGATTGTTTCTTCTATTTCTGTGAAAAAAAATGTCATTAGAATTTTGATAAGGATTTTATTGAATCTGTAGATTACTTTGGGTATAATGTATATTTTAACAATATTCATTTTCCAATCCATGAACATGGAATACATTTCCATTTATTTGTGCCTTTTTTATTTTTTTTTAATCAATGTTTTATAATTTTCAGTGTACAGGTCATTCACCTCTTTGGTTAAATTGATTCCTAGATATCGTGTTCTTTTTGATGAAATTGCAAATGGGACTATTTTTTTTAAATTTCTCTTTCTGATAGTTTGTTCTTAGTGTATAGAAAAGCAACAGAATTTTTGTGTTGATTTTTCAGTCCTACAACATTACTGAATTTGTTTATTAGTTCAACAGGGTTGTTCTTTTTTTTTTTTGGTTGCATGTTTTTGTTTAATATATACAATGTCATTCTGTCTGTAAATAGTGACAATTTTCCTTCTTTTTCATTTGGATACTTGTTTCTTTCTCTTGCCTAATTGCTCTGACTAGGACTTCCAATACTATGTTGTTTAAAAAATGGCAAGAGTGGGAGGTAGTTGAAGGTGGCAGCATAGGAAGATGCTGAACTCACCTCTTCCCTGAGACACAACAAATTTAGAACTACATACAGAACAGTTTCCTCTGAAAACTTTAAAGCATCTACCAGAGGGGCAGAAGTCTGTTGAAATTCACTCTGGGGAGGCGCTGGTAGGAGCAATTTATACATTTTCTTTGAAACATGCTAGCACCAGTGCTGGTGGATGCCAGTTTTTTATTCTCAGCCTAACCTGCTAGAGGTGGTGGGTGAGCTGCCTTGCTTCCCCCACATGGTCCTGAGAGCAGGCCCACCAGAGGCAGAGGGTGAGCAGCCCTTCCTCTCCACTGACATATTGCTTCTATGTTAGCCACTTCAGAGGTGGGAGGCAAACAGCTCTTGATCCACCCACACTGCACCCATAAGCTGATTTACCAGAGAACAACCTTAATGAAACAAAGTAATATACCTGATAAATAATTCAAAGTAATGGTCATGAGATACTCACTGAACTCAGGAGAAGAATGGATTAACACAGTAAAAACTTCAACAAAGAAATAGAGAATATAAGAAAGTACCAAAAAGTCACAGAGCTGAAGAATAAAATATCTGAAAAGGATGCTAGAGGGATTTAATAGCACACTAGATAATGCAGAAGAAAGAATCAGTGAGCTGGAAGACAGGGCATTGTGACTCACCCAATCAAAGCAAAAAAAGAAAAAGGAATTTTTGAAATGAAGATAGCTTAAGGTACCTATGAGACATCATCAAGCAGAATAACATTTGCATAATAGGAGTCCTAGAAGAAGAACAGATAAAGGGGCAGCAAACTTATTTGAAGAAATAATGACTGAAAACTTCCCTAACCTGTGGAAGGAAACAAACATCCAGAACCAGGAAGCTGGGAGAACACTAAATAAAATGAACCCAAAGAGACCCACAAGAAGACACATTGTAATTAATATGTCAAAGTTACTGATAAAAAGAGAATCTTAAAACAAGAGGAAAAATAATTTATTTCATATAAGGGAACCCCCACAATACTACAGCAGGCTTCTCAGGGAAAATTCAAAGGCCACAGGGGAGTGGCATGATAAATTCAAAGTGTCAAAAGGGAAAACATCAAACTAAGAATATTCTACCTAGCACGGTTGTCATTCATAATTGAAGTAGAGATAGAGTTTTCCAGACTAGCAAAAGGTAAAGGAATTCATCACCCCTAAACTGGCCTTACAAGAAATGTCAAAGGGACTTCTTTAAACTGAAACAAATGGGTGCTAATTAATAATAGGAAAACATATGAAAGTATAAATATCACTGGTAAAGGTAAATATATAGGAAAGTGCAAAATAATCTAATGTTGGAAAGGTTGTAGATTAATCACTTATAAAGCTACCATAAAGGTTAAAAGACAAAAGTAGTAAAAATAACTAGTACTACAATAATTTGTCAAGGGATGCATGAGATAAAAAGATGTAAATTGTGGAATCGAAAACATAAAACATTGTCACCATAATAAAAATAAACTATAATCTTAAATTTAAAAAAAATAACAAAATAAAAGGGCTTACTCAGATAATCTAGAGAAAAAAAGGAAACATAAAACATGGGAGGAAATAGAGTAAAAACATAAAGCTTTAGGATGCATTCACACTTAAGTTATCAACTTAAAATATCCTATTGTAAATAAGTTATTATATGTAAGCCTCATAGTAACCACAAAGCAAAAACCTATAGTAGATACACAATATATACAGAAAAAGTAATCTAAGCATACCACTACAGAAAATTATCAAATCACAAGGAAAGAAAGCAAGAGAAGAAGAAAGGAAGAGAAAAACTACTAAACAGCCAAAAAACAATTAATAAAATGGCAGTAAGTGCATATCTATCAGTAATTACTTTAAACCAAATGGCCTAAATTATCCAATCAAAAGACACAGAGTGCCTGACTGGATTAAAAAAAAAAAAAAAGTAAGACTTGCTCCAGGTCACTGGCATCTCCCAAAAAAGTGGTCTATATGCTGCCTACAAGAGATACCTATGAGCTGGATCAAAGCAAAGGGAGTGCAAACATGGCACCACTTGCTGGAGTAAGGCAGAGGGAACCAGAATCTTCTCAGAAGTTTATACTTTAGTTTCTTCTTGTCTAGAATAATTGGTTCTTGAGAAGCATCTAAAAGGCTAGAAAGTCTAGAGTTTCTCAATGTTGGCACTATTGATATTTTGGGCCAGATAGTTTTTGTGCTCTCCTATGCATTGTAGGAAGTTTAGCAAAGTCCCAGGCCTCTACTCACTAGAAGCCTGCAGCACACCCTCTTCCACCGAGTTGTAATAATTAAAATGTCTCTAGACATTGTTATATGTCTCCTGGGGGGCAAAATTACCCCCAATTGAAAATCACTGGCTTAGAGGCATGGTAGTGATGTATTTAAAGCATGGATTTTGGAGAACTATGTACGAATCAAGACTCTTGCTTACTGGCTACATGACCTTAAGCAAATAAATCACTTCTTTTTACTGAACCCATTTTTTATTTATAAATGGGGACAATGAGTCCTCGTTTTGAGTTGTTGTAAGGATTAAATGAGATCATGTATATGATCTCAATATATAGTGAGAATAATAATGAGTTAATTTTATTAACCATTATTAATTAACAAAGATTACAAGTTTCTAGGAAATGGTGAATAAGGAAGGGAGGAGGAGGTTTCTTAAGGGTAGACCTAGAACTTATTTGTCCATGTTGTCATAGGAAAGTTCAGCTTTTTCCTAGTAGCTTTTCCTAGTATGTCTTACCATTGAAGAGCCATCAAAGATGAGAGTCTTAAGTCTTTCTCTTAGGGACTCCATAGCAAGATCTTCAAAGGCAAGATACCGAGTTCTATACTATGGAATCTGTATAATCTATTTGGATGTAACAATCTCTGAGATTTCTATCTATGTGTATGCAAGTCAAAGTTCAATCCACCCCTTCTTTAGAAGTCAAATTCCCAAGTATCAAGGAGATAAGAAGAGTCTTAGAGTCTTACCATAGAATTACACCAGAGACATCGGAAATCTTGAAGTCTTTGGTAACTGCCACAGTTCTCATGACATACTGCACATTGAGAACTGACGGATATATTTCCTTCTACCCACTGGTGGGGCATAGTTTTCTGAAGGGCAAAAAGAGGCAAGAAGTAGAAGTTAGAAATATAAGGAGAAGAAGGGTCAGCTGGAATAACTATACTATCCTGTGGAGTAACCCCAAGGAAATTTTCCCTGGTCCTGCCCTGGTCCCACTCCAATGCTAGTGACCAATGACAAGTAGGAGTGTGGGGCTTTAATTCTTCTAGATTGGTTGAATCATGAGCCTGGGAAAGAAGCCTAGTTGGGTTGTCTGGAGACAGAAATAAGTCTTTTTTCCCCTGTGTGTCCTAGGGGGAAGTATAAAAGGGTGATTGTGAGAAAGCATGGCTGGTACTCACTACTTCATCTGCAGGAATGAGGAGGTCATCAGTGATAGACAAGGTATTCCACTTGCAGTCTTTGCTTGCTCTCAAAGCACATAATCTGTGAGACTTCACTTTACACACTGTGAAAAAAGGAAAAACATAGATGAATGTAAATCTGGTGATAATGAAGATTCTAATTCCCTTCCCTAAGCTGCTCTGAAAGTTAGAACCTAGATGTATCTAAATAGTTTTGACCAGCCTCCAAAGGCCTATTTTTATATGATTCTTTTTATTCTTACTGGCTATATTTTCTACTGATTTGAATGGAAATTAATATAATAATGTGATTTCTGTTTTTCCAACCCTAGTGACCATATTGTTGGATCATTCCAGACCCAATCCTCCATTTTGATCCATGAGAATTCACCCTTATGCCAGTTTCTTCCCATATCCTTCCCTCAGTCTGGTGTCAGGGTTAACCTTACACAAGACTCAGTGACCTAGTATAAGTTGGTGATACTAAAGCCACATGAACTCCTTCTCTTCTATCTCCACCCACTTAGCTCCACTTCCTAAAGGAATCAGAAATGTACCTCCACAGATGATAACATTTCTAG